ACGGTATTATTCGAAGTTTAAAGGTCATTAGATAAGCATGGAATGAAGATAAAATACAGGCTAGTAACAATTTCTGTGAACAGTGCCGAGTCCCAACTCATCGTACTCCTGTTTGGAGATTCACATCTGCTGGAAAGTGGAGAGCGAGGCCAGAATGGAGACGTCAAACCTGACAGAATACTTGCGCTCGGGCGACGCGACAATCATAATCGTCATGGTGGAGGAGGTGAGGGCGGTGATCTCCTTCTGCATGCGGTCGGTACTGCCCGAGAGGACAGTGTTGGCGTAGAGGTTCTTGCGGATGACGACGTCGCACTTCATGATCGAGTTGAAGGTCGTCTCGTGGATTCCCACCGACTCCATGCCCATGAAGCTGGGCTGGAAGAGTTCCTCAGGGCAGCGGAAACGCTCGTTGCCGATGGTGATCACTTGACCGTCGGGCAGTTCGTAGCTCTTCTCCAGCGAGCTGCTCGACGCCTCGGTGGCCATCTTCTGATCAAAGTCGAGCGCCACGATTCCGCGCTCTGCGGTCGTCGTGTAGCTGTAGCCGTGCTCGGTAAGGATCTTCATCGGATAGTCGGTCAGATCTCGTCCGGCCAAGTCGAGACGCAAAATGGTGACACCGTCACCCGAGACGAGTACGATGCCAGTGGTTCGGCCCGAGGCGTAGCTCGAAAGTACGGCCTGAATGCCGACGTACATGTCGGGTTTGTTGAAGGTCTCGAACATGATTTGCGTCATATTTTCGCGATTCGCGTTCGGATTCAGCTGCGCCTCGGTCAGCAGCACTGGGTGCTCCTCGGGCATCACACGCAGCTCGTTGTAGAAGTATCATGCCAGATCTTCTACATGTCGTCCCAGTTCGTCACGATGCCATGCTCGATGGGGTACTTCAGCGTCAGGATGCCGCGTTTCGACTGCGCTTCATCACCCACGTAGTTGTCCTTCTGCCTCATGTCCACCATCACACCCTGACAAGAGTGAAAATAGCAAAAGAGTCGATTATTGTAAACATCAGCAATAATAATAATCTAAAAATAATCTAAACAATACTAATAGTGCTAAACTAAACATTAATTATAATTTAAGCGATAATCATAATAATTCGCTAATAATCAAGTCTCCAATAACCTCAATAATATCAATAATAATATAATAAATTTATAAACGATACTACGGTTTTTATTAATATAAATAATAGACCAATACCGTTGCATGCAATAATAATAATAATAATAAAAAAATAATGTGTAAATAATTATAATTGTCCATAAGTTTAGTCTGAGCGGTAGTGATAATAATGATAATTTGCAACTAATATTGCTACTAGTACTATTAAGCGTCTATTAAAATATGATAATAATCATTATCATCCCAAGACCAATAATAATGCAAACTATAATATTGGTAATACTACTACTACTAATAATAATCCACTAATAATATAAACGTTTATAAAACTATAATGAGACTACTAATTATAATAATACTTACTATATCCCAAACTAATATTAATAAAAATAATGCTACCATCCTAAAGATTGTAATGCACTTTACTTAGCCTCTCCGCACCCGTCAAATCCACACACCATGTTATGTTTTTACAATACTTTCAATGAAGCTGTTAGCCGATCTTCTGTTATTTGACTAACAGTACCGTCGATTGAATACATTTCAGAATATACTTGCATCAAATTAAGGCCTAAAATATGTTTACTTAAAGCGACCACCGGATCACTTTAATAGCATCTCTTCTCTCCTCCACACATCGTCACTTGATAGTACGGATTCTTGACCATCAGCAGCATACCTCTTTTTAATCTTCTATTCTAGTTCAGACTTCCGTTAGATTCTCTTCTGCTTCCTTTATGCTATGTCCTCTTTCAAGTTATAATTTGGAGATAATTGCTACTCTTGAATCATATACCGTTCCGGCCATACAATTGCGAAGCTATGAAATATAATTGAATATATGGTGAAATGAGGATCATAAAATACATTTGAAGAAGGGGGCCATAAAACAGACAATTGCCACAATTGCCCCTACTAGTATCCACAGTAAGTCACCTCTATCCAAGTATCAGAAGTCGGCACCTTCTATGATATTTGTTGTGAAAATCTCAAGTGCCAGCAAACAGGGACCCTCAAGTGTGATATACCTCAAGCATTCTATCCAAAGTTGGGTTAAAAGTGTAGACCTTTTTAACCTTAGTCCCAGAGACACGAATATATATATATATGTATATATATAAGTATGCACTTCAATATCAGCATAATGTGTATATTGTGAAGTCAGAATGCAGCCTCACAAAGAGACAGAGAGAATATTATGTTTATAATAAAGTGTCTTACTGTTTAATCAGCTTCAATTCTAGTGCAGACAAAATCACATGCCTTGTCGACAAGTTCGGTGGAAAGTAGATTATATTAGTTTCATTGTGAGTCGATCCACTGTTTTCATCAACGTGTGGCCGAAATTTTTTATTCGAATAGGTGTGTGGAAGTAAGGCATCCAAGTTACCAACATTTTTATGAACATTTTAGGCAGCTGTCGTCCATCAATATGTTCGTTGGTATCTGGTACTTTTAGAAAAGTGCAAACGGATTGAAAAGTAGTCCCACTTTTCGGTAGATAAACGATGTCATGATCCGATTATAACGCTAAGTAGCCCTTTAAAATTGACTGTACAATCAAGTGCAAACGAGGAGGTGCATGAGACTGTATAAATATGCCTCAGTAGGGAAAATCCTCATTAAACAAGCCAGTTTCATGGCCTTGTGGTATATCCATTGTAGATGAGTCGTATGGAAAATAATGGAACTATCTGGAATCTATATATGCTTAGAAAGTAATGCATTAGAAGATATTTTAATCCTCAAAGGGCAACATCTTTTTGATCTCTCAGATTATGAAGCAGAGGATAGACAAGCATAATCATCAACTCTTGCACTAATTACCTGATGCTAGTCGCAGGTCAGGAAGAAGCAAATTTAATGCAACTATTTTGGAATGTAAATATAGGTTAGGTAAGGATAAGATAAACTTAATAAGAATAATGAACTATTGTAACAGAGGGAAGATCTAACTTTCAGGGGTGCTTAAAGAGAAATTGTTAGTCAAGAAAGATATAACTTCGAGTCTTTGAAGGCTTGGACCACAAGTGATGATTTAGCTTTGTTCGTTTTTCCTTTGCAGTTTATCTCCAAAGGGCTACGATTGAAGAACAAATTAGTTTGGAAAGTTGATAAGATCCAATTCCTGCAGAGCTTCCTAGCAGACGGAAACGAGAAACTATACAATGAGTAATGACTTCTTGCAGGCTTAAGATGTCTTTCTTTTCCTCAATTTTTCGTGATTACTTTGACTTCAAATCCTGCAAAGAGTATTTTGCAAGGCATGAACTGCAAGTGATGAATTAGCATGAATCGTATTATTTTTGGCTGCTGATCCCCAAATAGTTGCAAACTAGATTCAAAGATCCAATTTAGACAAATATTCACAGCATACGAAAACGAGAAGCTGGATAATCTGCAATTACTTCTTAATCTAAAATAGGATTGAGCGCTTAGGACGACTCTATTGGGAAGAGTCCTTCCATCTCGACTTTTACCTTTGGATTATTCATACTATTGTAAATTGAGCTTGCTTGGCTGTGAATGATAGGACTTCAAGCCTTTGAACGGCGATGTTTGGAGGTCTGAAATGGAGGAGATGAGTGATACCTGTTCCTCAAACTTGTCTACAGATGAGTCTAAACAGAGAGCCTAAGCAAATGTTTACAGAAGGAATTCAATTCACATGCGTTTGTAACAGGATTTTATCATCCGAAAACCTGAAAAATCCTCCTGAAGTGACAGTCTCTCGTACCACCGTCCAGGAGGCAATAATACCACCGAAAGCTGCCGAGCACCGAGGTATGTGTTGATACGACCTAAAGATTCATCTTCTTTGGGTCTCCATCACTTTGAGAAAATTATAAGAATTCCCTGAACACCTCTGACTCCATGACCATCACAACTTTGGAGACTCATGCATGCTAAACAACAAAGAACAACGTCGGCAATAGCAGTACCTGATGGCGTGGTCGTCCGATGATCGATGGGAAGACGGCTCGTGATGCATCGTTGAAATTTAAATGCTAGGTAGACAGATTGTATTACATATATATATGTATATATATAAACAGTGACAATGATTTAGCACAACATATGCTTTTACTTTATCCACAGCTTCATCATCGCCATTTATAGACAAAATAATAATGTGGCAGCCTAGATGGTATTAGATCTGCATCCATCGCGTTGTTGGTTGCTTTTATTTCGGCTTTACTGAATTGATGCGACCTATCGTAAACTTACAGTTTACAAAAGTGCAAACTAAAAGGGCTTGAAG